CGCGGGGCGCGGATGTCGGGAGCGCGCGCGGGAGCCGGCGGGAAACAGGCCTGTCTTACAGGCCAGGCGGGGGAAGGGCACCAGGGAGCCCGGACCTCAGGCAGCAGCCCTTCTCCGCCCAAGGAGCAGCTTCCAAAACACTGGCCACACTTTCTGTTCATCTCCATTGTAATCCAGGGATTTCATCTGGTTTGGAGCTTGTTGGAAACCGGATGTCGGGAGCGCGCGCGGGAGCCGGCGGGAAACAGGCCTGTCTTACAGGCCAGGCGGGGGAAGGGCACCAGGGAGCCCGGACCTCAGGCAGCAGCCCTTCTCCGCCCAAGGAGCAGCTTCCAAAACACTGGCCACACTTTCTGTTCATCTCCATTGTAATCCAGGGATTTCATCTGGTTTGGAGCTTGTTGGAAACAGACACTTTAGCCCAGAGCGGGCTTCAACTTGGGACTGTCCCGCGTCGGCCTCCAGGGTGTCGATGTCTCCCTTGGTGCCAGTCTTCATTCGGTGTTAGGCTTTTCTAAACGGACAATGAGTTCTTTTCTAAAAGGACACTTTTTGCCTCTGCGGTTAATCCCTCCTACTTTGTGTATTTGTGAAAGTGGATGTTTGGATATCTCTTGGAGCAAGGAGCAACTATTTTTAGACGTGGGTCTTTTCAAGATGATTGAAATGAGATGCAAAAGCCTTAGGTTCTGAAACACCACAGATGGATCCGGTGTTACCTCCAAGCCTGATGCTGAATTTATTACCCGTCAGGGTAAAGGGAATCCGATTTGATACCTATTCAAGATAATAGAAATAGTTTCGTTGTAGGATTCTTCAAGGATTGGAAAGTCACACGGACAAGGATGTTTAACGTTTGAACTGCAGTACTAGATTGCCATCTCCTCAATGTGGTGGATTTGGGAACTGCTTCCCTTTAGCTGGTAGGTAGCTTTTCACCACAGAAAGTCCTTGAACAGTGAGTGCATGCCGGAGACAGCTAACAGCGATGGTTCCCAGGGAAGCCTTGGACGTCACTGAGCTCTAGTCCTCTTTTCCCATGGCCCTGAAACTGGAGACTGAAGTTCTATTTATCGCCAGCTGCCCCTCTCAGCCTGGCTAGGAAAGCTGTTGAGTTGGCCTGAAAGGACCACCCTGTGGAGATGACTAGTTTTTTTAAATGGGCCTTTTCGGCCTAGATTCTGCCCTGCTCCCATCCATAGCAGCAGCACCGTGCCTGTGGCCAACATCCCGTAACTTACTGAATCTATTTCCTCATCCCTAAAAACAGGGGCAATAAAATATCCACCTGAAAGGTGTGTAAAAGTGAAGTAAGACTGGGAGAATCTAACAGTCACGACCATTACTGCCCTGTGAATGTTCAGAGTCGCGGTCCAAAGCGACTGCTGCGTGTGTTCAAATTGGCGGCAGCGAGACTCAGTCTCCCCTGAAGCGGCTGAAGGTCCGGGACGTCTGTGAGCCAGGGGTCAGTCGGGTCAGCAGAGGAGCAGTGGGCGGAGGCCCAGGACAGCTCCGGGAGCTGTCCCCACTCCCTGGCTTTCAGCTGCTGGCAGCCTGAGTCCTTCATCTGCCATGTCCTGCTGCCATGGGTGCTGTAGAAGACAAGGCGGTGAGGAACCGTGAAGCCTATGTAAAATAGTAGGCAGCTCCTGTGCAAGCCCCGCTGCCCACGGAGGGAGGAGGAAGACACACACCAGGCTTCCTTCCATCTCTCAGACCCAGCAACCAGGGAGTGCACTCATTCAGTCCGGGATCCTAGGTCAGTGTCTGCCATGCAGTGTGGGTGATCAGAATCAGAAGCAAGACGTGCACAGACTGGAGCCTGAATTTTAAAAAACTGCTGTTGATCCCACAAATCAATCCCAGGTTGTAATGATTTCAAGTAAGGATTTGTAATTCTTCATCTTCTTCATGCACCTTTCTTCCTGAGATTGCCAAGCAGTCCAGAAAGGTGATTCCTAATACGACACTGAAGAAATATTGGGCAGAGGCTGACAATTTCAAGAACAGGAGCTAGAAGGAACAACTATTCACAAAAGAATCCTTGGTCTGCTCGCTGGGCAATAAACTCAGTCCTTTTCTCACTCTGAGTAGTAAAATAGAAGCTTTTGGTTAGCTGAGCATGGCGGTACATGCCTGTGATCCCCTGGAGGCTAAGGCAGAGCACCAGTTCGAGCCCAGCCCTGGTGATGGAGTAGCTCACTGAGACTGTCTCAAAATAAATAAAATGATTAATAATAATAACAACAATAGTAATTTGAAAAGGGAGGTTGAGATGCAGCTCAGGATGAAGGCTCTGAGTTCAATCCCTAGAACCATCCATAAAAAAAGGTATTGCTATTCAATTTTGGAAATGGAGACGAAGGAGTTTATAAAGAGGAAATACATAAAATGAAAATGAAAAGCATAAAATCGTAGAGGAAGACTGCAGAAATATAAGGCTTAGCCAAGTTGACACATAGGATCAGATGAGCGATGAGAAAAGGTAACTGTGACCAAAGGAAGACGTGCTGGGAACCAGACTCCTCTGTTCCTCTAGTAGCTGTTTCAAAGATGCATTTGGAACATCTAACTGCTCCCCTTGTCCTCCTACCTGTTCTCCTATGGGTGACAAGCAGATGAAAAATGAGGCATTTCTTCCTCACATGGAGGTCGGTCGCTTGTTCTCTTAGACAGGTCCTAGAGTTAAAGTCTAGATTTGACAGTGGCTGCTTCTGCTAGAGGAACTGGCCTAACCCCAGCACACTTCACAGAAACTGAAACAG